GATTGTGTTGCGAATAGTGGCGGGTCTAATCAGCTGCCTGCAATTCATGGGGCCTATCTAGGGCTGTTTGGATCCGGTGATTAAAATTTAGGAGGTGTTATGTGAGGGTGTTGCATGGAGTATTCGGATACTAATAAAAAATAAATTACAGAATCCATCAGTACTTCGCGAGACGAATTTATTAAGCATAATTATTTTAGCATTAGCATATGTTTACTGTAGCACAACATTATCAAATTATGACCTAATTAGACTTAAAATACTTGTATCACAAATTAATCACATGCTGTGTAATTAATTTCATAATTAATCTATATTTAATACTTCGTACGTACATCAAATATCCAATAGAACCGCGACTAAAGTTTACCAGCAGAAACAAGCACCTCTAGCGTCCAGACAGCCTGGTCTGGCTGGATCGATTTTGAGCGTCTGGCAGTTGAGATGGTTGCCTGGTTGGCAAACTGCCTGCTAGTTGAGATCGTCTACTCCTACTCCTGTACTACCATGCACTGCTTGCCTTGCCTTGCCTTGCCTTGCCTTTGCATGGCAGGCAGGTTTGATGAGCCTAAAAAATTTCACGAGCGAGCCATTCATGGCAGCTTAATCACACCAACCTTACGTTCATTCATTAACCAAAGCATGCTATCCCCCCATGGTTGCTACGCAGTCATTATGACGCCAGGCAATCCGGGCGTCGGCGTCACGGCAGACCCGAGGCGAGAGAGACGTACCGGCACATCTGATGCCATCCCCCCCATTCCTCCCCTCCCGTCCCGGCCATCATCACGGAGCCCCCGCGGCGCAGTCTATCCAGTCTTCGCTCCTGAACAGCTGCGCGGCGCAAGCACGGAGGAGAGGACGACTCCACTGTCCGGTCCAGTCTTCCCTTGCAAGCAAGCAAGCAAAGGGGAGGGAAGCCAGACGGACAGCCTCAGCTCAAGCCCACCCCTCCTTCCTTGCCTGGCTGGTGGCTGGACTGGCTAGCTGCCCTTCACCTTCCCTTCCCCGAATGGTATCGTGCGACCTCTTCTAGTCGTCGCCAGCCACCTCTCCCCCTCCCAGACGACACCCACTGCTCCCCCCTCCCGTCCTCCAGTCTCCACCACCACCATCCACCAAGCTAGCTGTCCGTCCGCTCCCCTCCCCGACCCAGGAGCCAGCCAACCACCTTCCTCCGCCCGCCGGCCATGCCTGGCCTCGCGGCCTCCGACAACTCGCCCCCGACGGCGGCGCCACCGCCACGGCGTCTCTCATCGCCGCTACCCCGCCGCGCGCCGCCGTCCCCGTCTCCCTCCGCCTCGTCGCGCGCCAAGCCACGGAAGCCCTCGCCCTCCCCCGCCCCCGCGCCCGACGCCGACGACTCGCTCGACAACCCGGATCTGGGCCCGTTCCTCCTGAAGCAGGCGCGCGACGCCATGTTGTCGGGGGAAGGCGGCGGCGCGGCGCGCGCGCTCGAGTTCGCCGAGCGCGCCGCCCGGGCGCTCGAGCGCCGCGGCGAGGGCGCCGAGCTCGAGCTCGCCATGAGCCTCCACGTCGCCGCCGCCATCCACTGCGGACTCGGACGCCACGCCGACGCCATCCCCGTCCTCGAGCGCGCCGTCGCCGTCGTCACGCCGCCGCCAGAGGCGCCTGCTGCCGAGGGCGAGGAGGAGGGCGAGGCAGGGGCGGCTGGGGCCGACGACGGCCAGCAGCAGCGTGCCGAGCCTGACCAGAGGGGCGAGGAGTGGTCCCTCGCTGCCTTCTCTGGCTGGATGCAGCTCGGCGACACGCACGCTATGCTCGGACGCATGGACGAGTCTGTCGCCTGTTACGGCAAGGGGCTCGAGATCCAGATGGCTGCGCTCGGCGAGCGCGATCCCCGCGTCGCCGAGACCTGCAGGTGATCATCAATCCCCCATTCGCTGCTTTTCGATCTAGATCTCGCCTCTCCCAATCCATAAAGGCGCCATTTTTTACTGCCTCCAACCTCGCCAAAGCCAAAGAAGAGAGATTCCCCCATCTTGCTGGTCGTTAGTCGTTGCACAAAACTGCGGATCTCGACGGAACTGGCGTTAAAAACGTAATTCTTTGCATACAAACGCCTAAGAAATCTTGGGACGAAACATGACAATTTTGTTACCTCTGAAAACTGAGCAGGTATTTGGCGGAAGCGCATGTGCAGGCTCTGCAATTCGACGAGGCAGAGAAGCTGTGCCGCAAAGCCCTCGAGATCCACCGTGAACACAGCGCTCCGGCATCCCTCGAGGAGGCCTCGGACCGCCGCCTGATGGCACTCATCCTGGACGCCAAGGGCGACTATGACGGCGCCCTCGAGCACCTCGTGCTTGCCTCTATGACCATGGTTGCCAACGGCCGTGACATCGAGGTTGCCACCATTGATGTCGCCATAGGCAACACCTACCTTGCCCTCGCCCGCTTCGACGAGGCCGTCTTCTCCTACCAGAAGGCGCTGACTGTTCTCAAATCGGCTCGTGGGGACGACCATCCTACGGTTGCGTCGGTCTGCGTCCGCCTCGCTGACCTTTACCACCGGACAGGTAGGCTCCGCGAGTCTAAATCCTACTGCGAGAACGCCCTGCGTGTCTATGCCAAGCCCGCGCCTGGTGCTGCCCCTGATGAGATTGCCGGAGGCTTGATGGAGATTGCTGCCATCTATGAGGCGCTTGGTGATCTCGATGAGGCGCTAAAGCTTCTTCAGAGGGCGCTCAAGTTGCTAGAGGACTCACCGGGGCAGTGGAGCACTATTGCTGGTATTGAGGCACAAATGGGTGTTCTGTACTACATGGTGGGGAGGTATGCAGATTCGAGGAACTCGTTCGAGAGCGCGGTTGCAAAGTTGAGGGCCAGTGGTGAGAGGAAGTCGGCATTTTTCGGCGTTCTGTTGAACCAGATGGGGCTAGCTTGCGTGCAGCTGTTCAAGATAGATGAGGCTGCACAGTTATTTGAGGAGGCAAGGGCAGTTCTGGAGCAGGAGTGTGGCGCCTCTCATCCTGATACTCTTGGTGTGTACAGCAACCTTGCTGCAATCTATGATGCCATGGGAAGGTATGCGTCGATAACCTGTTCTTCTGCAATCTTCAGTCATTTTATTCAGAATTTCGTGCACATATCTCTGCCTGTGATGCAATTACATACTCCGTATCTTTAGTACAGATAGATGGTATAAACAACCACATATTTAGGATCTCTACTAGGTGTTATTTATAAGCCCATAGTGGTATATCTATATGTGCGTCATCATTTACAACAGTATTATGAACTAGAAGTGGCGCCAGATTTTTCCTGCTATCTAAAGGGGTAAATTTGTGAAATCTAATTCTTTGCTGAATGGGTGTGTGGGTTTGCGTTTGTTTGTGGGTGCTGGATGGTGTTGTAGGTTGATCTCCTTCTTTAGATCATCCTGTGTAAACTTGCTTTGATTTGGATTGGGAAAAACTAGTACCTAGATTGGTTGATGAGTTAGTTACCAGATGATCATTCCTGGCATGCGATGTCATAATAATTTATGGTTCATGGTGTAGTTGCCCACATGTTCTGTACCCAACTTTTTGTTAGTTGCAGAAGTAGCAAAACAGTCTATATTCAGGATGGGCCTGTGCCCATTTATTGATGCTTTCCGAAGTAGATGGGCCTGTGCCTGTTTATTGATGCTTTCCATGGCTTTGTCATGCTTGTATGTAGTTGTAGATCTTATATCTCTGAAAATTGCATAGATTACAGGTTAGTTATTCTAATTGGATGATCCATTTGTGTCGCATTATAGCTACTAATACGTGTCTGCATATACTCCCGACTATATATATATGTTCAGAGTGGAGGATGCGATTGAGATCCTGGAGCATGTGCTGAAGGTGAGGGAAGAGAAGCTTGGCACGGCGAACCCGGACGTGGAGGACGAGAAGAAGCGGCTGGCGGAGCTCCTGAATGAGGCGGGGCGGTCGCGTAACCGGAAGCAGAAGTCGCTGGTGAACCTGTTCGTGACCAACTCGCAGCGGGCGAAGAAGGAGGCCGGGAGGAGGTGGTCCAACTTTGGGTTCAGGAGCTGAGGAGCTACATCCACGATGACGTTCGTTGCCGCTGGGCGGCGGTGGCCTTTGTAACATAAAGGAGGAAAGGGAAAGGGAAAGGAAAGAAAACACGTGTAAAGATGTTGTTTTAGGTTATTATTATTGTTAGGAAGGTGATGATGATTGTGTTTGCTTCCTTCCATTGATTGAGGTGTTGAATCCCTGGAGTTGAATCACTGTCCTGCTGTGTCCTTGTGAGGTGGCACATGGCCATGCAAAATGCTGTCAGTGCAGGTGCTTATTACTGTGTGTTGTGTGGTATCAGGATCTGATCTCTTATTATGAGGGGAAAAAATGCAGCATAATGTTGCTGTCAACTGGTGAGGTGAGCAAGTGGACATGTGTTTGGAGCTGCATCGGCATCGGTTGGTGACTCTTGTTTTCTGATGATGTGGTGACTCTTGTTTTCTGATGATGAAACACTTCGGTTGGTGACGTGGGACCTAGTATGGCAGAGGGATCAGAAACACATCCGCTCACTCACATAGGAGTACGCTGGTACACCTACACTTGACTTGAGCACGATGTCAGTCAGGCAGGCCGGGTTTGGGGGATCGGGCATAGTGGGCCGGTTGATTTGGTGGTCGGCCCGTCAATGCGAAGCTCCACGCCGGGCCGTATCGGGCCCCCACTGAACGAATCTGAGCCCCACTGGCGGCGATGATCCCACAGTAACAACAGGGTAACTTTTCCTTTTTCTTACCGCCAAAAACAGTTTCATGGTTTCACCGCACCCGCGCGGCGATTCAAAAAGTGCGCAGCGCAACAGACCCAAACCCACCCACGGGATAAAACCGCGGGCCCCAACAGACCGCGCCGTACAGGTCAGGTGCCTCCCTCCTCCTCGGCACACGTGCGCGCGTCACTGCCCGCTGGGCCCGGCCGAAGCCGAGGCGGCCCACCGCCCCACCCCGCGCCTCGACCTGGCCCATGACGCGTGGGGGCCGTCGCGTCGACCCACCGAGTCATATAACGCACCCACACCCCGTCCCCGTCCCGTTTCGACTTTCGGCTCCGCCCGCGCGGTACCTTTACCCCGCGAACCCCTCGCCTCCGACTCCGCCGCCGCCGGTTCGGATGCCGCCCAAGCGAGGCCGTGGCCGTGGCCGAGGCCGAGGCCGCGGGCGCGGGAGACCAAGGAAGGACCCCGTCGCCGAGGACTCCGCGCACGCCACCGAGGTATTCGACACGACACAGCACTTGTTAAGCTAGGTCTCCGCTTCCCCTCCTCCTCCAGCACCCGGTTCCCGCTTTGCTTCAATTGCGCTGCCGCTCTGCGTGGACGGGAAGATGAGCTAGCTCGTCCGGATTTGGTTCGGGCTAATTTCCCCTCCCAGCAAGCTGTGTACGCTGCTTGCTCCCTGCGCTGCTTGCTTCGCTGCGCGGCCTCGCTCTAGTTACTTATAAGCGTGGATGCGGAGGCACGGGGGGTTACCCGTTGGCATTGCTGCGGTCTTCGCGTCTGCGACCATTCGGCTCCTTCGACTGGGATTCCAGCAACCCCTTTGATTTCCCCCTTCCCAATGTCTTTGCTTGTCAAATTTGCATCTCCCCCTTCCCCTTTAGGCTTAGCCCGTCAGGTCCAGCTGTTTCCTTGCTTGCGCTTCTTTGAATGTTCTACTGGTGCTCATTTTTTCTTGCATGAAGAACCAGAGCTTTGTCTCTGCTCCTTTTGTTTTTTTTAAATAATTCAGTGACAGCAGTTATTTAATTGAAGAGGTCATGCAGTGATTTGATTTCTGCGATACGCTTATTGGTCGTTTTGGCCTGGTTTTCAGGATAACGGTGAAAATAAGGGTGATGAAGAGATGCTTCAACCACAGGATTCTGCTAATGTCAGTGTTCTTTTCTTTGATGTTTGTTTTCCTTTCCATCAGGTCCAGCTGTTTCATTGCCTTTGCTTCTTTGAATGTACTAGTGTTCTTTTTTTCCCCATGCATACCGGAGCTTTGCCTGTGCTCTTCTTTTTTTAAATAATAATTCAGTAACAACAATTATTTAATTGAAGAGGGCATGCAGTGACTTGATTTCTGCGATATGCTAATTGGTCTTTTTGCCTCGGGTTTCAGGATAACGGTGAAATCAAGGACGAGGACGAGATGCTTCAACCACAGGATTCTGCTACTGTCAGTGCTCTTTCCTTCTATGTTTATTTTTCTTTCCCCAAAAAGGAATTGAACACAGATCCTAAACATTGCCTATGCTCTTGAATTTCATTTTTCTCTAGGAGAATGGAGATCAAGGGAGCGGGGAAGCCCTGAGACCTGCACGGAAGCGAAAGAGGGATCCTGTTGCTGACATATCTTCTCTTCAATATGATGCCAAGCGTCTTCGGGACAGGCCGCCTGTGACAGTGCAGCCTAAGGTGGGGGTTTTGAACAAATAAGGTCTCTATGTGTTTTGAGTGTAGTTATGGTCTTGTTGGTACTTTTCATTAGATGCTGCTATTGCAGCTTGTGCTTTGTTTTTCAAACGCTGTCAAGTCCGAGTGTCTGTTACGCTTCCATTTGGCAAATGTGTCCTCTCCATGTTTTCTTGTTTCATTTGAATTATAAATCTACCTATATGTACATGCATGACGTATGTTGGTTACTGGAACTGGCAGAGTACAAAAAAGACGGATGGTACTTCAGCTATGTGTCATCAGTGCCAGAGAAACGATAAAGGAAGAGTTGTAAGGTGCCAGGGCTGTAAAAAACATAGGAGGAGATACTGTGTGCCATGCATCACACGCTGGTATGGCCCTTCCAATGCATCCATGCTGTGACATTGCATTTTCATTTTTGCTTTCTAGATCCATGACTCTTGTCTTGTCCCTTATGCACATTATCCTCTTCGCTCACAATGTTATTGCATTTTCTTCTTTTTTTGTTATTAATGTGCACTGCTTGTGTTCATGGCATGATTTTAACAGGTATCCAAATTTATCAGAGGATGATTTTGTGAATAAGTGCCCGTTTTGTCGCAATATTTGCAATTGCAAGGCTTGTCTGCGAATGAAAGTACCAAAAGAGGCAGAGGTACGCCTTTGCTATCTTTATATTTCCAATTCCAGTCATGTTGGCTGTATGCTTTACATGTTCACCGGCTCCTTAATTTTCATCAGAATGTCAACTGGAAGGTGTCCAAAGAAGATGAAATTAAATTCTCTCTGCGTACTGTGCACTTTCTGCTCCCTTGGCTGAAAGAACTCCACCACGAGCAGATGCAAGAGAAAAGTGCCGAGGCTGCAACTAAAGGTAGTATGATTGCAACGTCAGCATTTAGATTTAAGTTTACGTGCATGGTTGCTACTCATTAGTCATTGATATTTTTGGTTCTCTTCCTAATTTTGCTATATTAGTAGGGATTGAAGCAGGCAAACTGGGGGTCCCTCTAACCATTTGTGGAAAAAATGAACGTATATACTGGTCAGTATAGCTTTACTTACAAAGCATATGCAAATTATTGGTTTTATAAGCGTCTAATTCCTTGTTATATTTGTACAGCAACAACTGCAGGACATCTATCGTTGACTTCCACAGAACCTGCAATAAATGTAACTACGATCTCTGTCTGCGGTGCTGCCAGGAGCTTCGTCGAGGCCTTGTTCCTGGTAATGGTGCCAAGGCTGATGGTGAAGGCAAGGAAGATTTGCAATTGGGAGTTAGTCATGATAAATTTGTATGTAAAGGGCCATCTGATGAACAGAATGGCATGTTGATAGATAATGTAGTTCCTGCTGACAACAGCACTTCTAGCTTGAGACAGTGGAGTGTGAATAACGATGGAACCATACCTTGCCCACCAAATGCATTTGGTGGGTGTGGGAGCTCTCTTCTTGAACTTAAGTGTTTGTTTGAAGAGAAGTTCATTGCTGAATTACTGGAGAAAGCCAATTCAGTGGTCAATAATGGCTCAAAGGTGAAGATGGAAGGATCAAAATGTTCCTGCTTCACTGAATTCGGTGACATGGATGATGGTATATCGCGGAAATCGGCTTCCAGGGAGAATTCCTGTGATAACTACATATATTGCCCAACCGCTACAGATGTCCAAAATGGAAGCTTAGATCATTTCCAGGAGCACTGGTTGAGGGGTGAACCTGTAATTGTCCGTGATACGCTTGCATTGACTTCTGGATTAAGCTGGGAACCGATGGTTATGTGGCGTGCCTTACGAGAGAAGAGAGACAAAGTTGAAAGGCTCTCAGTTCTTGCTCTTGAATGCTTGGGTTGGTGTGAGGTTTGTAATATTCTCGTGACTGTTGTTATTAGCTGGAAATGATATGACTTTCCGAAATGAAACTTCTAAAAACTAATGATACTTTTCATGTACTCTGAATGCAGGTTGATGTAAACATTCATATGTTTTTTACGGGGTATTCACGTGGGCTTGTTGGTCCAGACGATTTGCCCCTGTTACTTAAGCTTAAAGATTGGCCACCACATCGTTCTTTTGAGGAGCGGCTGCCTAGACATGGTGCAGAGTTTATGTCTGCGTTGCCATTTCGCGATTACACAGATCCTAAATGTGGCCCTCTTAATCTGGCAGTAAAGCTTCCTGAGGGTGTTAATAAGCCAGACCTTGGTCCAAAGACTTATATTGCATATGGTGTTTCCAAAGAGTTGGGAATTGGTGATTCTGTCACCAAGCTTCACTGCGATATGTCTGATGCGGTAAATATACGGTTTTGCATATGCTTCTTGGCATTGATATGCAACTCAACAATAAAGACTTGCCTTGTTAAGGACTTGACAACACTTGAATTTTACAGAGCTACAACACTAGTTTAGGTAATAACTGCTTGAAGTCCTGAATTTGGTGTTGTTCTAGCTGCATCTATGTTATTGTAATGACTTAATGCTATTTAAAGTAGTTATATGGGTGGCAGTTTTGGCTGCCCATAGTTCTGGAAAATCTAGAAACAATGTCTCAGTTATCAAGAATATATATATCTGCCAGCTTAATGTTCCTGGTTTCATTTCTGTCCATTGGTGATTCTTTTTCTATTGTTCTTTTGTTTTTTTTGCTAAGTTTCATCTGTAGAATGCCACTTCCTAATTCCTATTGCTTGAACTGGTCAATATCATCACACGTAATTTTTATTTTCTATTTCTATTTCTTGAACAGGTCAATATCCTCACACATACTGATGAAATAAAACTCAAAGCAAAAAGGATTGCAGCAGTGGAAAAGAAGAAGCATTGTTTAGAAATGAAGAGTCTCTCTACCAAGGAAGAGGGAAATGTACCCGAAGAGGGAAATGTGCCTGGACTAATTACCGTGGTTCCTGAGTCAGAAGATGACGCCCCATCCGTAGATGAAAACCAAGCAGAGGGTGGTGCATTGTGGGATATTTTCCGACGGGAAGATGTGAGCAAACTGCATGATTATCTAATGAAGCATGCAGATGAGTTTAGGCATTGCAACTTTGAGCCAGTGAAGCAGGTAACCAGACTTGATATTCGGCCACAAACGTATGTTGTACCATCTGGCATCCAATTTCATGTTGAAGAGCTATCCCTTTTTGGCAGGTTACTCATCCTATACATGATCAGTGTTTTTATCTAACAAATGAGCACAAGAGAAAGCTTAAGGAAGAATATGGTTAGTTAATTACCTTTATATCTTTTTGAACTTGAACTTCGCCCTAGTGATATTTCCTTGTTTTCGTGCTACTTTTGCAGGAGTCGAGCCTTGGACATTTGAACAGAAGCTAGGTGAGGCAGTATTTATCCCAGCAGGATGTCCCCACCAGGTTAGAAATTTGAAGGTATGACATGACAGGACATATAAACAGCTGTCCATCCCCACTGCCATCAGTGACATGCTCCTTAATCAAATTAGCTGCTAATCAGTGACACCTTTTTATTGGGCAGTCTTGCATAAAGGTTGCACTTGACTTTGTTTCTCCGGAAAATGTGCGAGAGTGCATCAGGTTAACAGAAGAATTCCGTCTGCTTCCGAAGTGGCATAGGGTGAATGAAGATAAACTTGAGGTTGGTCACTGACTCTGTCCTTACTCCTGTAACATTTGCTGATTCTTTTTATGATTGTAATATGTTGTGTATATTATGTCGTTTTTTGTCTGCCTCAGCTTCTGTATCCTCTCTATTTGGGCATTCTTATCTTTCTGGACTAGATACTTAAATTTAAATTCTGTGTCTTGTCGATCTGCAACGGCAGGTTAAGAAGATAGCTCTTCATGCACTCAATCAAGCTATTAAAGATATCACTGATGGATCATCTAATAGCAATGGAAGGTTTGTTGTGATAACTCTTTCCCCCAACTGTTTATTCTTTGTGATTACATAAATAGTGAATGCATAATCTTCTATGTTTGATTATGGTGAGACCCCCATGTATCAACATTTTTCTAGAGTGTTTTGCCCTTTTCCCATAATGTTCTCTGGATTCTTGCCCTGCTGTACGCAGTACACATTCATCTATTTGTCTAGGTGCTCTTGCTTAGTCACAATTCTAGAATGTGTTGTGTTCTGCATAAATGTATCTGGTCCATCAGGGAAAAAATGTCTGAATGTAGAAGTAATGTTACAGGAGTGTTTCTTGGTACTGCTGATTGCCTTCTGAAAATGAATGTATCATGCTGTCACCAAAATGAAATCAAATTGTGGTTCATCTCAGTTTTATCTGCCCTGTTCGCTCCACATTTAAGCTGCTGCCGCCGCTGGCTTCCTGCTGCTGCTTGCTTGCTTGCTACTGCCTTTGCTGCTTGGCTGCTGCAGCGCAGCTAGCCGAATGACCCTTGTGCTGCTGGGGTCATTGCCTTGGAAATTTTGTAGTCTTCATTCGAACATGCTTTGCATTGCCCATTTGCCTGATTTTGAAATATCTTGGCACAGATGAATTAGTCGATTGGGTTACACAATCCTTTATTTATGTCCTGTACGATACTACACCTTTTCTGTAAGCAGTTGATACCGTTGTAATAAATATGATATTACTAAGTGGTTTCTTGATCTTGCGCAGCAGCCCAAATAACGAACTCAAAGATGAGCCTAGCTCAAGTGAGTCAGCGGAAATGGAGCAAGGAGAGTGACCAGCGCAAGGCATGCCGACCTGATTGAGATTTATGTGGCTTCATATTTATGTACGTGGATCATGCTTTTGTATGGCTGGTGGTTTGGCCATTACTCTGACAACAAACTGATAGATATTACAAACGGATAAATATTAATCTGGCCTAGGCGCCTGGCCAGCCCTATAGCTATTGTGTGAACAGTAGTTCCCTATTTGACACTTATATATGACCCCCTGGCCCTTGCAATCTTGAATTTCTCTATTTGATATACCCTTGAATGTCCATCCCTAAATTTACACTGTTGTTCAATTTCAGCCTCTTCTGTCAGTTGGCTGTGTGGACCAAGTTAGTTCTTTTGTCATATTGACAAAATTGACCCCTAACCATTTGGCCTTCTCCCAATATTGCTTGAACCGTCAGGGCAGACCTGTGAACTAGCCTCTCCAAACCCTAGATCAGGCAACTATGGCGATGGAGGCGAACACCACGACTGACTCCTATGGCGAGCATCACAACACGGTGGATGCATGGTCACCCATGGTGGCCTCACCTGGCGGCGCATGGGGCTGATTGTGTGGCGACTCGAGGCAAGGCTAGTCGTGGCATTATGGCAGGCATCGCAATAGGGTGGAGGCACGCTTGCCTAGGGTGGCCTCACCCGACGACGCTTGGGGCCGATCATGTGACGACCTGGGTCGGTCTTGCCCCGTGGCGTGAGGGCATGCATGTGTCGCTACACAAGGGCTGTTGCGGGTGATGGCTCGAAGTCTTGCTCACTCGGCGACATAGGCCTGAGCTTGGGCGATGGCTTGAGGCCTGCTAGCCTGACAATGGGGGTGCGGCTTGTGGCCCGATGGTGGCCTTAACCCGAGGCACAGGTCCACCCGCACATGGTGGCGCACATGCTCGCCCAGAGGCCTCGGGTTGGCCTCTCCTAGCAATGGCGCATGCGCAGCAACAAAAGCATCATGAATGGCTTAAGGGTGAGTTGAGCATCTGTATTTTTCTGGTTTTGTCTACCTAGCAATGATAATGCATTAGGTTGTTTTTTACTTTCAGGATGGATCCAGATACAATTTATTTGCTCAAAATTAAACTTCATGGCAATCATGAGAAAGCCACAAAGGATGTGAGATGTTTTTCCATTGAGAAGGTTGTCGATCTGATTTGAAAGATTATAAGAATCTTATATTGAATCAATTGTAGACCAGTGCCCTCCAGGTTATTTGGAAGTTGCACACATCCAATACTAAGATGTTCTTGAAACTTTTCCAAAAGTAAAATCAGACAAAGTGTTGATGTTTGGTAAACAAAGACAAAGGTCGTCAACATGTTCACTTAATATTGTGATCCTACCTCTATCACTGAATTTGATGTGCAAGAGCAGCATCAAAATACAATAGAACAAGATGAAACGTGTAGGTGTTGATGAGAAGATTATGTACTCCTTTGTTCCAAATGGTAAGTCGTTCTATCTTAGCTTTTCTAGCTACGTAGTTTTTGCTACGCATCTAGATATACATTATGTCTAGATACATGATAAAAATATTTGTATCTTTATAAGCTGGAACGACTTACAATTTGGAATGGAAGGACTACTTAGAGAATAACCGCCAAAGATGAGGATAAGGACCATCAAATCAGCTTAAAGTCCCATTGTGCCATTTTGGTGGATGAAGTACCAGCAACACATGTCTTTTCCACATAGGTTTCAATGTCACATGTATTCTCATGATTATTTGGAAAAACCTACAAGCTTGTGGTGAATTTTAATTACTCTCTTTGTCACCACAGTTGAACCTTGGAAATTACAACTAAGAAAAAAAAGGAAAAAAACACTAGTTTTGGAGCATCGAAATAGTACTCCCTTTGTACTAAATTATAAGACGTTTTGTCTTTTCTGAATACATTGTTTTTACTATGCATCTGGACATAGTGTATGTCTAAGTGAATAGCAAAAAATATATATCTAGAAAAACCTAAACGCGTCCGAAATTATAAGTCGTTTTAGCTTTTCTAGGTACATAGCTTTTGCTATGCACCTAGATAGACAATATGTCTAGATATGTAATAAAAGTACTAATTTATAAAAGCAAAAATGACCTAGAAATTAGATAACTTGTCGATCTGTGTTGTCCTAAAATTTCATGATTTGGCCAACTGGTCTGGGAGTTATGGAATTTACAAATTTCCTGTAAGGTTTTGCATGTGTTATGTACATATATGAAAGGTTGTGCTTTTTGACTTAGCCCTTAAATCATCTCTTGGTGAAAACAATAGAGTTGTAGTACTTTTCTTAGGCTTTCTAAATGTTAAAGAACATAACTTTTGGTAGACTAGAACTCCATTATAGATGTCTAAAGCTTAGTGCTAGATTCTGTCCAAGTCTTGACAGAAATGCTTATTCGTGTTGTTTGACCTTGTTAACTTTTGAATCAGCTCTGGGTGATAATAAGAAAGTTGTAGGCAATTTCATAAGCTTTCCAAAAAGTCCAAGAACACCTTTGTTGGATGTTTAGATATCTAGTTATGGCTAAAACGAGTGTGTACTGTGCTGCTGTCCAGAATTTGTAGATGTTTCTCATGTCATTTAAGCTCGCTTTATATTTTGAAATTATGTTATTGTAAGTATTTCACAGTTATGTTGTTTCCTCTAATCAGATTTGAACTCGGTATTGTACTAAATATTTGTGAACTCAATTGTAATATTATTTTCGCTGCAAACTCCTTGTATGTGATGTGTATTTACTTAATCGAGTAAGATCTTGGTTGTGATGTGGCTTATTTGAGGTCCTTCGTGACACTCGATGGACTATCGGATTTATATGAGTAACGGTATGCGTGTGACAACGTTCTTAGCGAGAGCAGTCATACTTGATCTTGTATAAATTGTCTAGTTCTGTGACAACTTTCTCTGCTGCCATATATGCAGGTATAAGTCGAGAAGTGGCTCAAATAAGTCTTAGTCAATTTCCATTGAGTTTTCTTCGATCATAGACAAAAACACTTGCTTGTGTGATGGACAAGGACAAAAGGAGGATGCAATGGGCTCAAGGAGTAGCAAACATTGTGTGATGGACAAGGACAAATGGCGGATGCAATGAGCACAAGGAGTAAAACAAGGCAGAGCGTGATTCTCATATGCTTAATTTTTTGTCCTATGTAATGGATGTGGACTTGGTGTGTATGTGAACTTAAATGTGTGTACACCTCATGTGTCTGAAGCGGCTATCCAGCTACTCATGAATTGTAACTGTTAGGCCAGTCTCATTGGGGATTTTATGTCTCTTTTTCTAAGACTTCTAGATATTAACAATAGTGTAAACTAGTTTTATTCTCTTAAAAATCTCTCTTCATTTATACTATGTCATGTCAATTTATTTAATACCTATGATACTCATGAAAATAAAAATTGTCTCTTTTTCTAAGATGTCTAGTTATTAGAAATAGTGTAAACAAGTTTCATCCTCATAAAACTTATTTTATCTCGTGAAATTTTTATCATCTATCTCTTTATTTATATGTCATGTTACCATAAAACACTTGTGAAACCTTCGAGACTAGCGTTAGAGCTGGGCGGGTCGTCTCTTTGTCTGTCTGTGTTTGGATCCTGGTACAACTTATTGGAATGCAAGGGAGGTGCAACTTATTGTTGGTCTATGTTTGAATGCTGGCACAACTTACTCTCGTCTTTTTTAATTTATTTGTGATATTCTGATGGTGCAATATGATTGACCTGGTGCTGGTGGTTGCATATCTCAGATTAACTGATTATTGGTTAATAACCACTTGAATGAAAGTATATGTCAATACATATACATTTAAAGAATCGTATGAAAATAGCAAAAAAGTGAGGACGTTTCCATTTGAACAAGAAAAAAAACGCACACCTTCTGGGTATGCAGATTCGCCTTATTTATGCACAGATAGCTTTGCACGTGTGGAGGTGTAAAATGGTTATTTAAATTCGCCACATAACACCGTTAGTGCTCAAAATAAATGGTTGTGTCAGGTTAGGCAAGAAAGTCTGAATGTCAAATACAATGAAATTTAGGCAAGAAAGTTTAAGTGAGTGCCAAATTTTTTTATCCAAATTATAAGACGTTTTGACTTTTCTAGATACATTGTTTTTATCATGTATCTAAAATTCTAGATATATTTTATATCTAAATGTATAGGCAAAAGTTCTATATCTAGAAAATAATCTGTAACGGAGTAGGAAATTTGAGTTTGCTAGAGCTACGGAAGAAAGACCCTATCTCATGGATATCGAATAATGATTTTTCTCTTTGTTTCGGGGCAACGTGTTGATGAGGAAATCTCTCCTTCGGATACACCCGCTGATCCTTCAGCCGTTATGCAATGTTGAATGACTAGAGCTCGAATGCGACAGTTAAATCTAGAGGTGAGCTTATTTTTAAGCAAAACTTTTTCATAGTTTTAAGAATAGATTGCTACATAATGATGTTACTATGCTTAGGAACATTAGAGAAGGTCATTAAGTACTTGGAGAGAGGTGTGGAGGCAGAGAAGTGTCTAAGTCAAGCGAGAGACTCAGTTCAACTCGAGTTCAAATATACCTTGGCCTCTGGGACTAGCCTACAGTAAAACGGACTCCTTGAACGTATACAGACTTTGTTTTTTATGATCCATGTATGCATGATAAGATAATTTCATAAGCTAATCAATGACTTTTGATTTACATCAAAATTTAATCCGAGTCAATGGGAATCGTCGAAGCAAGCCAGCTTCAAGAATCTACCAGAGTGCTGCGTCATCATCGCTTGGTCTGTTGAGCCGTGTATCGTTTTAGAGCCCATTAAGGGAGTATGTCTAGGGGTATCATGCCTCATACACTTTATATTGAGTCTTCATCACCCAAGTTAGGTTTTGGGTTTTACTCGAGATTAATTTATTTTTGAACAGTCGCCGTTATCAGTTGTGAAACACAACTTCAAGTGCTTGATAATAGATTTGCAAATTGTCACTTGAATTGAGCTGCTTATTTCGAGTTGTTG